AATCATCTGTAAGAGTTCAAACATTTGTGATGCATTCTGATGTTTCAGGGGTAGGGACTTAAATTGCCCACATGGGAGTACTCCTTTGCGGTATCTTCATCTGGAGGCATTCTGACCAACAAAACTGGTTTCCTCTTTCTCTCATATCTGATTGATATAATTTTTGTCTGGAGTGTGATTTTGTAGGTTACAGGTCCCATTCAGCAGACCACTTCATATTTCATAATGACCACTTCATAATGACCATTTGGCATTTTGCCAAGAGCTTGTGTTCAGAAGCATCTTCTGCCCAGGTTGGAATGTACATTCTCTGGCATTCTTGTCATACCACTGTTTCTGTGTTTTTTGTGCTTCTTCCAAGTTTTGTTTTGCCAGAAGGGGTGTATTGTTCCTTTTTGCCCATCATCTAAGATGTACTGCAGGACTTTGGTTTTCTTTGGGTTTAAGGTCTTCCTACAGTACTCTTCGTTCAGAAAATCAAGGGGTACTCTCAATGCCCTTCCGTAGAGCAGTTCAAATGGAGAAAGTTGAAGTTGAAGATTGTGGCACCTTCTGATAAAAAAGTTATGGTAGCCAAAAATCTCAGTCAATTTTTCATTATCAAATCTTTGCAGCATTGTTTTGAATGTCTGGTTGAAATGTTCGACATTTTTATCAGTGTGATGAAAGTAAGGAGTGGTGAGAATACCGTGTATGCCTAGCACTCTATACATGTGTTACAATAGACTAGAATGCACCAGTAAAATCAGCTGCCCCAGTGCCTTCGCTGCCTTTTTAGCTTTAACTGTCTTCAGGGGAAATGCTTCAGGGTATCTACAGTATTAGTATAATCACTAATGATTAGAATGTACTGTACTTGTTCCCTCAGCTGCTAGTCTCAAGAGAACCAACTACGTCCATGACAACTCCCTGGAAGGGGGAATCAGTTACAGTCAGAGGGTATAGTGGCCCCTGTCTCAAATCCTTGTCTTGGCTATTTTTTGGCTTTCAGGACAGGAATTTACAGTAATTACAAACATCTGTATCAAGACATTGCCAGTTAAAATCTCAGTTAAATACAGTAAAAAGTTTTTATGTTATCATACATATCTTATAAGATTATATAATTTATATAAAGTAATGCCATCCAGGGTGTGAAGTTTTTGAGAGGTGCAACTCTTGTTAGAGAGGTAGCATTGTTAGGATACAACAGCTGAACAGAGCTTGTGAGTTAACAAGATTCAGCTGTGGGAGGGCTAAAAGAGCAGACTGAATACTTCCCTAGAACAAAGAACATCTCAGGCTGCCAGTCCTGAACTACCATCAGTATAGAGAGAACCCATGATAAAGATAGTCTCCCACATATTAGGCATGACCTAATATGACCACTATAGCGGGTTGAGGTGGAATAGCTAGCTGAGATTATAAATACAGCAGCCTCACAAGTTATGCAGAGGTATGGGAGTGAGAGTGACCATACTGGAGGAGAAAAGAGAAAACAAATGAGTTACTGTAGGATATGGCAAGAGAGCAGGCACTGGGCTGCAAACAACCCTAGAGAGAGAAATAGGCTATATTATTTGACTTCATATTTGTGATCATGCTAGTGTGAGAAGCTCCAAGACAGGATGTGAGTTGTGTAATCAATCTGGAGTGAGAAGCTCTAAAAGAGAACATGGGAAGGAGCAGAAGGATCTTGGAAACAAAGTCTATGAGAGATCAGGACTAAACCTAGTAATGAGGTTAGGAGTAGGGAAGGCTCGTAGCAGAAGCATGAACATCAAGGGATGGGAAAGAGTAAGAATAAAAGCCTCAGCCATTGCAGTATTGGCCAACCAGTACAGCAGTTCTGGCCAAACTGGATTGACCAAGTTGAGGGTCTTATACTGTTACTCCCCAAAAGGGATGAATCAGTGAATATACAAACTTCAGGTAACTGGGTTTAAGAGTCTGTGAGCTGAGGACACAGTGACATGAGAGAACTTTAAGAAGATGATCTCGAAGGGGATCATAGAGAAGATCAAGGCGTGAGTGAATGTGAGAGAGTTTCTAAGAACTAGAGTAAGAGGTAATGTGACACTGAGAGAGTTGTCAAAACTACAAGGCTGTGAGCCTTAAAGTACACATGCTGAGAACTCAGAGAGTTAATAGATAAGTTTAAGTGAAGTAAGCATGAGATATAAGTAAGATTAAGCCTTTGTCTCCTGGTTGCTTCAACAAGGGGGGCTGAGTGATAACACCACTCTCAGAGGAGAGTATGTATAAGTTGGGGAAACTGGTAAAAATCTAGTAAAACAGTGAGCAAAAAAGTTCCCCAATAGACTGTGAAAGCATGTCACCTGCTTTGGACACAACTGCACCGTCACCAAATGGTGTCCACAACCCGCAGGGTATCGCAGTATCTTATTGTACTAGGCCCCTCAATGGGTATAGAATGACAAATTTCCTAAATTCTGATTCTATCCATCTTTGGGCACCAATTGCTTCCCCTAGCTGCTCTAAACAGTAAACAATGGTCCAATACAATCTTGTCTTCAGACAGGTATATTTTTCCCTCTTTGACTTTGATGAATAATATTGCCAGAGTAGAGTCTTAACTCTGTGAGTCTTTAAAATTAAACTGACTTTCAATTGCCAAGTATGTTCTTTCTGACAGTCGTCTTTGTGTTCATAAATATTTGTCCTCATGACTATGTTTCCTACTGTTTCTGGTATTTCCTTCAGTTACTTCTAAATCCAGTTTTGCAAAGAGTAGGATTGCTCAACTTTCCCGTCCACCTGGACCTGTTTAATGTGTGTCCTTATGTTCCTTTGTATATGAACTATGTATGACATGAGAATAAGATGGAAGAGGCTGAACCCAACAGGCTCACAGGCAGGATTTACCACTGTTGACTGTCCACTGGCAGGATCGTATCTATGTTCACATTTCAGGTTTTAGTACCGCCAAGGCATTGGTATGACACTGTATAAGGACTTGTGTGTGGCGTGTGTCTGTGTTCGAGGCCCTGCCTCGAACCTGTGCCCCTATTGTGTGCTGCCTCACACAACCTCACAACATCTTTTAAAAAGAAGACATTGCTGATTTTTGGCTGTCTGAAACACTACACAGTAATATAGCCATACAAATATGAGGGAAATATGAAGTCCTGTAACATTGTCTCTGATAAATAATTGATCCACTCCACAGTAATTAATCCCAATAACACATTCTCCCCATGCACATTAATTAATCCATCCCCATTACAAATAGACTTTGCTACAGCAATTGTCCTACCTCAGTATTTATTACAATTGTCCCAGCAATTGTCCTACCTCAGTATTTATGGCAGTAACAACTTGTTGTAGTAAACTATGCTCCTCCCTTAATAATTGTCTTGTCTATGGATGCAGTGGCGTTTCTGGGAAATGAAGAGAACCTGTAAGCAAGGTAGTAAGCAGCCTAGCACCCTATGTAATTGGTGCTACAGTAGGTGGTGCAGTCATACAGGAAGCTTGGATAATTCTTGTTTGAGGGGGTCTCCCTATACAGTATGTGACAATATGTTAGAGAGGAATCTGTGAACATTCCTATATAACATTCGACAACAGGAACACAGAACATCTGATCATGTGTCGTTTGTCCAGTTATCGTGTTTTGTCATGTATATGTCACGGACAAACTGTATGTGGTTTTAGAAAAATAGAACTTATGTCTTCAAGTGGAAAAATAACTAAATAACAGACTTGAATTTGATCGATTAGGTTGATATGGAAGCCCGTTTCCGCCAGGAAGTAAAAAAAAAACATGCTATGGTATCTCAGAATCGCAACTTAGTAACTCAGATGGCTCTATGGCTAAGGATCTGCGCCTGTGACTAGAAGGTTGCTGGTTCAAATCCTGTGGCTGGCAGAGGAATCCTACTCTGTTGGGGCCCTGAGCAAGGCCCTTAACCCTAACTGCTCCAGGGGTGCTGTACAGACCCTGTGCTCTAACCCCAAGCTTCTCTCCCTGTCTGTGTCTCCGTGGAGAAAAGCTGGGGTATGTGAAAAGATGAATTCCTAATGCAAGAAATTGTATAGGGTTAATAAGGAAACATAAATTCCGACTTAGTATCTCAGAATTGTGACTTAGCAACTCAGAATGCCAAGTCAGAATTTGCGACTTTGAAATAGCCCATATTTCATTGTCTGTCCTTTTGTTATTGTAACGGATTCGGGTTCAAGGGCTTGTGCCCTCACCGCATTGGCTCGAACCCAGGTTTTGCCAGCTGAGCTAAAGAACACTTTCTTTAACCCCGGCGGCCAGCATCCCTGTTATGCGTAGGGGAGGGCGGCGCCGTCACCACACTGCAACCAGATCGTACAACCTGTATGTCGGCCGTTCCGTTACACTATTTTCATGAATCGTACAGAATCATAGGATCTAAAGGCCTGAAGACTTGTCTTGTACAGTGCCCTGATTACAATTACAAATTGATTACACTAATTTTTATAGAATCCCATTTCCGCCAGTGAGGCTTCCATAGTACCCGGATGGAATAGTGCACGGTGGCCTTTTTAAATTAGTTTTTATTTACGGAGACGGAATATGAAATAAGATACAGAAATAGGCACTTCACATCCAGAGGAATTCACAATTATAAAAGCTGAAACGTACTTTTTACGTATTTCCATTGTAGGTCCTTTTTTACTTAAAAAAGAAGGTCTTCTTTAGCTCAGATGGCAAGACCTATCGTTTGTACAGGGTTCGAGCCAATGCAGTGAGGCACGAACTAGAGTGGGAGCGGCGAGGGCACAAGCCCTAGAACCCGAATCCGTTACAATAACAAAAGGACAGACAATGAAATATTTCGAAGTCGCAAATGTGAGATATAAAGTCGCAATTCTGAGTTACTAATTCGCAATTCCGAGTTACTAAATCGGAATTCTGAGATACCAAAGCGCGTTTATTTTTACTCCCTGGCGGAAACGGGCTTCCATAGGGTTGACACATGAAATAACTGTAAACGTATTTAACAAGACACAACAGTATATTATTCGTTCTGGATATGCCGTATGTCGTGTTTCGTCATATTAATTACGATATTCGCTCCTAGTTTGTGGTGCTGTGGATGGAATGCGTTCGGCAATGAGGTTTCAGAGCAGAGAGATTACTTTTATCTGCGGCTTCGGCGCACATGGGAAATCTACTGTTATACTTTATGCAGTAAGGACAGTACTAGTAAAACAGCAGAGACGAGTTAAGATCGTTCACAAGGACTTGAATTCACATGAATATAAAATTCTTGATTTTTGTTTCAGGGTTACAATGCGATGATCGATTTGCCTTTGTGACTGTTTAGTGCAGCGAGTGCTGGAAAAATCTGCGTCTGACTCAGACTACGGAGTGACATGAGATCTGCTCTGGGACTGAGTCCAGCATCTGCCTGCTGATGTTGGAAAATATAGACCCAGCAATAGGGGGTTTAAACAACCACGTAGAACGTAGACAACAACCACAATAATAATAAAAAACATAATAAATTATAAAAAGGAGATTTAGACCTGCTAACAGTCACTAAAAATATTGACATGCCAGCGACAGAAGGGGAGTAAGTACTTTTATTTTTCAAATCTGTGTGATGTTGTCTCATACGTGTTGGGCGCTAGCTACTGCAAGTTTACTGACCTATTTCGATACTTTTTTTAGCATGACCGCTTGCTCCAGAGTTGGGGTTGAGAATTATAAATTGTAAAGACCATACACGAAGTTAAAACTATATCGGCAGGAAATTTGATAATAGTTTTGTTTTGCAATTGTCTGTTTATACAGTTTATTTTCTTATTAAAATGTATTTGTAAAAACAACTCGGTTACATATTATGAAGACTTTCAATTCGGGTTTGACATTTTTGATATTTTCTATTATATTAAATAATACTCTGAAGATAATCTGAGAATTTCAGTTTTACTTACAAGAGTACTGCTAATAACAATGGTTTAGTACGCTGTTGACAAAGAAAAACTAAGTATTTAATACCACGTCATTTCAAAAGTTATTTAGCTCCTTTATGTAATTCTCGGGGCTGATCAATTTATTCCCAGATTATTCTCTCTTGGAGTCCATTTTCATCGAGCACGTAATGTACTGTATATGGACACATTGTTCCGATATTCAGACGTCATCACCTTACTACTGTAGGTATTCTTCATTGGTTTCAGTTTAACAACAATATAATCATTTAATCAATCAAGTTTCAACAGAAGAACTGCATAGCAACAAAACGCCAAAGTTGGATACACACGCAGCTGCTGATGAGTTGTTTCATGTGCACTGTTTCATTAACCCTTTTTTTGCCTCGTGTTAAATATAGTAGTCCTGGCACAGTACAACGCGGTGTGTATACAGTATACAGATGTTCCTTGCATTCCTACCCCATCTTTATTGCCGATCAGATACGCCTGATGGATTATAACAGTATAAGAGAGTTTAAGAATAGCTGCAAACGAGGGTGCGCCATTCGACTCATCTAGCGTGTTTGATACTGATCCAAAGATTTTGTTTGACTGTTTCTCAAAGAAATTGATGGTATCAGCTTCAACAAAACGGTTGGGTAGCTTTATGCCATAGCCCTACAAATCTTTGCATGAAGAATTGCCTCCCATTCTCAGTTTTAAATGCATATCCATGTACTGTATAGGATTTTCAAGCATACAAATGTATGATTTGATCGCACATTGATCCAAGGTAGTGAACGAGAGAATTTCTTTACAGAAGAGTCTGGTTAACATGAAATGTTCTGTTTCACAATAACTTATTGAATAAGTAACTGCAATTACAATGAAAAGAGGAAGGATTTCGTCAAGTTTTGACAGCACTGTTGCCTTTGTATTTTTTTTTATTTGATTTAGATTTTATTTGATTGGTTTTAATAGGAAGGATTCACTCTTTTCACAGTAGTTTTATTTATACAATAAGTAAAGGAACCCAAATGATAAAACATTCTATTTTTAAGGACTTGTTAAGAGGGCTTAATGTTTTTAAGGAAAAATGAACTGTTTTTGGACAATGTCAAAATAATTCCAAGTTGATGTTAATACACAGTAAGGTGCCCATAATAAATATTAGTATTGAAAGTGTTTTCAGAAAATGCTGTATTTTTAGCTTAGATTTGCTTTGTCCAAGACAGATTTATAACTATTAATGTATTTGTGCAGCCAAGTTAATATTTTTGTGTATGAAGTTCAAACTGTGAAATTAAAAACAAATGAAAATATTATATCTGTAAAAAATTAGAAATTTATATATGTAATGGATCTTAAAGCACAGCAATGACCTCTCAGATTTGTGATAACACTAAAACATGTGTGACAGAAATTGTGAAATGGCATCTTTTTTTTAAGGATTTCCAAAAATGCAAGCACACTGAGCTTAGACTGTAATCTTTTAGTAGTGTAAACAGGCCTCTTCTGTCAGCTATATTTGGCTCCTCAAGTCATGTGGAGTAACTGGAGCTGAGAGTCATGAATGGGCAGAGTCTCTTTAACCCTTTGAGATGGGAGAAAATATTTATATGTTGATCCTTTATACTTATTCAGTTAAGAAAGAAAAACAATTTTTTGTAATGTCTTCTATAAGAACAAGTGACAGGCATGTGAGGCTGGCTCAGTGACTGAGCTTATGTGTGTAGCAATACATTGCCTTCAGAAAGTATTCATCCCCCCTGAAAAATTCCAAATATTGTTGTTACAAACAGAATATTTAATGAATCACATTTTTCCTTTGATTCACACAGCATATGTAACAATTTAAAAAGGCAAAACATATTTTAATTGTATAAAAAACATATGAAAAATGAAAAACATAAATATCTTTTTTACTTAAGTACTCACCCCCCTGAGTCAATACTTTATAGCAGCATCTTTTGCAGCTTTTATTTTAGCTCTGAGTGTTCTTTTTTAATTAAAACTCTGAGTATTTTTGGGTATGCCAGTATCAGCTTTGCATATCTGGATTTGGGAATTATTTTTATTCTTCCTCAGATGGGTAATTCCTGAAGTATGCTGGCAATCGTGTTCTGGAGGCACTCCAGTCTCATTTTGGCTTTATGTTCAGGGCCATGGTTCTGTAAGAATTTGAATCTTCAACCCAGTCTGTCTTTTGCTGACTTAAGGATTTGTCTGATTTGTCTGTTTTCAGCTCCATTTGTGCCTTCTATCATGAAAAATGTCCCAGTCCCTGCCCATAAGATGATGCTGCCACAACTATGCTTCGTGGTAGAGGTGGTGTTACATGTGTCTGGAGCTGTGTTTGGTGTGCCCCAGAAATAGCACTTTGCATTCAGAACCGAAAGTTCAATTTTTTTTCATTAGACCAGAGAATCATTGGTCACATGTAACATGCACTGTTAATTGAGAGACCTTATTAAGACAGGTGCATTTCTTCTGAAATCATGTCAACAAGGAAGTGAGATGTACCTCAGCTTGACTTAAAATTTCATAGCAAAAAGCATGAATACTTATTATATCAAGACATTTCAGTATTTTATTTTAAATCACATATTAAACATTTCCAGAACTTTGTTTCACTTTGATAGTATCCAGCACTTTGTGTAGATTAGTGACAAAAATACCATATAAATGAATTTCTATTAATTCATTGAGTTCTAAAGTTCCAGCAAATTGTGATCAAAATGCAAGGGTGGTGAATACTTTCTGAAAGCACTATAAAACCCATTTTTGAAAGATAAAAAGCAAGCTGCCTTGACATTGCTCAGCAATTGTTTCTTGTTCTTAGAGCTGTCTAAGAGATGACTGCTCTTACAGAATTTGGATTTGCTGAATAACCATTTGTTTTCCATGGGATTGTAGGGGTGCAGAACAATCTACTTAGCCATGCAAGTTGAATCTGTTTAAATCTTTTTTTTCTCTATGCATTTAGAAAAGTGTTATAATCCCATTCTTCCTATATGACCATCAGTCTATTGAGAATTTAATTGTGGCTGTACCATTATTTTCACTGTGAATGCAATGTCTCCTCAGTTCCAAGGGGGAGGATTACTCCACTGCCATCCTGAAACAGAAGCATCGCCCCAACCGGCTAATCGTCGATGAAGCCCTAAATGAAGACAACAGCATTGTCTGCCTGTCACAGGTGCTGTGTGCAAGATATGTGTTTTACATGAAAGATGAGAACAGCTCAGAGGTCTGCTTTAGCTTGCAAAAATGAATCAGCCTTCAAAGGCAACTTGTCTGTAAGTCCACTTGTTAAGACTTCCCAGTTAACATACTGTTCATCTCTCACAAAAACATCTGGATATCATCTGGATATCATGTACTGTAACTGATTTCATGCAACACAAAATAAGTACTGTAAGATATGAAAACAAAGTATTCCATATTTATTTTCCATCACTGTAAAATGAAATAAAACATTGTGTAAGCTGTTTATTCTGATAAAGGTGTAGTTGCACCTTTTTATTAAAAAAATAATTTAAGGGGAAACCTAGAGGGTAATTTCACTAAAAGTGCAGAGGCCACAACTGTATGGCATTAGTGCCCCATTAGGCAGTGGCCTTACAGCCCTTTGTTCCTTTGTTCAAGCTGGGGCTGGTGTACCTTCTGTGAGGATTTTGAATTGCAGTTCTGAATTGCACCCTATATGCACGTGTGTATATGGAACAAGTAAAGCTTAATTAATTCATTATTATTGAATATTTTCTTGAATATATTGTTACAAATGCGGGGTTACGAAACTGGTGAAAATCAGGAATTGACCGAGCAGTTTAGTCAATCAGTGAAATAATTATTCATAACCTCCGACTTGTAATTCATTTCTAACAATATACCCGAGCAGTTGGTATAATTAGAGGCACAGGAATTTTTTATTCTCTGACAGTTTTGGTGAGAGAAGTAATAATCCAGATACACTTGGTTAAAACAAATATTTATTACAATGACAAAACATAAACTACACTGCACACAACATACCACGTACAAGTTACTTTATGTACAGTATTTACAAACAAGGCGTTTCAGAGGCCTAACATTCTGGTCACACAGAAAACTCCAGACTGCTAATAAGCATTAAACTCTTAATATGCCTACAGAGGCTACACAAGAGATGAGCTACCTTCAAACTAAAAACAATGCAAGCTGCTGTTAAATTTCTCTCTGCATGCCGGATTCCACAAAATAAATGGGAGCCTATATCCCTATCCTTAAAAATGCACCCTAAGCAGGAAGGACATTTCTAACTGAGGTATCTTTTACCCAGGAAACCCAAGTTCCCTAAAAACACAGAAAAGCACGCTCTCTAACAAGGTTCCATCCAGTCAGGTTTGATTTGGATGATCATAATAATAATAATAATAATAATAATAATAATAATAATAATAATAATAATAATAATAGCTTTCATTTATATAGCGCTTTTCTGGACACTCTACTCAAAGCGCTTTTACAGGTAATGGGAACTCCCCTCTACCACCACCAATGTGTAGCATCCACCTGGATGATGCGACGGCAGCCATAGTGCGCCAGAACTCTCACCACACATCAGCTATCAATGGGGAGGAGAGCAGAGTAATGAAACCAATTCATAGATGGGGATTATTAGGAGGTCATAATTTATAAGGGCCAATGGGAAATTTGGCCAGGACGCCGGGGTTACAGCCCTACTCTTTATGAGAGACGCCCTGGGATTTTTAATGACCACAGAGAGTCAGGACCTCGGTTTTACGTCTCATCCGAAGGACGGCGCCTGTTTAGAGTATAGTGTCCCCGTCACTATACTGGGGCATTAGGACCCACATGGACCACAGGGTGAGCGCCCCCTGCTGGCCCCACTAACACCTCTTCCAGCAGCAACCTTAGTTTTTCCCAGGAGGTCTCTTCCATCAAGGTACTGACCAGGCTCACACCTGCTTAGCTTCAGTGGGCTGCCAGTTGTGAATTGCAGGGTGATATGGCTGCTGATCATGAAGTAGGGGCGCTCGCTTCAAGTCCTAACTCCTCTGGACTCCTCTCTCTTCTCTTTGCTTTTCCTCTTCTTCTTTCTCTCTTCTCCTCCTGTCCTCCTCTCTGAGCTCTATATTGTGATCTTATATTGTGTGAGTCTGTACTGTTCCTGCCCTATCATTAAACCACAACTTCCCTAGGTATACTAAGGCAACCTTTACAATTGTTCAAGGGCGCTTTAGACCTCAGCAAACATCCTCTCTTCTTTAAAGTTAGAAGTGTTTACTCTTTCAAGTGTCACAAAATCTAAGAGACACTTTTCTGTCATCTAAATGGCATGCCCTCTGCAGCCAGAGGGCGCTCCTATTCTGTCCTGTCCCTAGTTTCCTGTTCTTTGCTGTCCTTCCATTGTCTCTCTCTCTGGGGCTATATATTTCCAGGTCACTCATTCCCCTTCTCTCAGCATTGACGTTCGGATGTCCTGAGAGCCGCCTAGCACCAGGTTGCCCCACGTCCGCTGCCTGAGGGCATAGGTTTCTATACGACTCCTGAACTGCTGAGCCCGGGTTAATCCCCCATTCCGTTGCTACACAAAGGGTCTTTTTTGCTCTTCTGCCATTCCATGGTTTGTCCTCTCCGACATTCGTGACAGAATGCTGAGCCTCCTACTGACCCCGCGAGCGGTGCTTTTTGTTTTTCCGCAGTTTTTTTTTCTGGGCTTTTTTTTCTCTCAGCTCTCCTATTCTAATCACGGGATGCCTTTTCCGACTCCTGTGCCTGTGAGCGGTCTGCGGCCTGGATTTCCTCGGGTTGTCATTCCGGCGTCCGTGATTGAATGTTGAGATGGCCCACCTATCCTCATCGCTGGATATCACTCCGGTCATCCGTGCCTGTGAGCGGGCTGTGTGCCTGGCTTTCCTCGGGTTGTCCACTCCGGTATCAGCGATAGGGTGGTGAGCCTTTTCCTCTCCCATTCTAATTGCTGGATATCACCTTCCTGACATCCGTGCCTGTGAGCGGGCTGTGGCCTGGCTTTCCTCAGGTTGTCTTCTGCCGATATCAGCGTTAGTTTGGTGAGCCTTTTTTGCCGTTCCTCCATTCTTATTGCTGGATATCAATCCGGACATCTGTGCCTGTGAGCAGGCTGCGGCCTGACTTTCTTCGGGTTGTCCACTCCGATATCAGTGATAGAATGTGAACATGCCTATTGCCCAGTCTGCTGTATTTTTTCCCGGGTTTTTGTGTTTTAATTCTTGTTTTTTTGCTTGGTGTTTTGATTTTTCACTTCCTGGTTTCCCCCTCTCTCTGGTCCCCCTGTCCTGTGTGTCTTGGAACTTTTGGCTCCTATCTTTTTTTTTGTGGTTTGTTTCCTTGGTCTCCCAAGTGCTGTGCAGCTCACTTATTTGTATGGCCATCAGGAGCCGCCCGTGAAGAGGGGGGGGTACTGTCACCCCCTCTGCAGCCAGAGGGTGCTCCTACTCTGTCCTGTCCCTAGTTTCCTGTGCTTTCTCTCTCTCTGGGGCTATATATTTCCAGGTCACTCATTCACCTTTGCTCAGCATTGACATTCGTATGTCCAGAGATCCGCCTAGCACCAGGTTGCCCCACGTCCGCTGCCTGAGGGCATTGGTTTCAATATGGCTCCTGAACTGCTGAGCTTGGGTTAATCTCCCATTCCGCAGCTACACAGCATATGGGTCTTTTTCGCTCTCCTGCCATTCCACGGTTTGTCCCTTCCAACATCCCTGGCACTAAAGCTGTAACAATATATTAACATGGTGTGCAGCAGACTGGTATCCAAGGTGCATCCTAACTTTCACCAATTGTCAGGTTAGCAGTGATGTACAGTAAGTGGTTTGCAGTCTTACGTGGAAGGATATGCTGTAGTTTATTGATATTCAGATACTAAAATTAAAGTATACTCAAACAACTGAGTAACATTTCTATACTTTTACTGCTTTAGCAGTGTTTACAGAGCTCCAGTACAAACCCAAATTACTTATATCACATCAAAATCAGACATACAGTACATGTAGGGAAGTAGGCTATGTCCACTGATGTGGTAAAGCAAATGTGGTTTAGTACCCATCTGGATAGTTAGTGTTACCACTGGACACAGTCATAACTTTAGGGGAGTGTCATCATTTACACACAGTCATTGAGCAAATCTGCAATTGTCTAGTGCTAGTACCCTAACACAATAGATGAAAGCACTTATGTTTCAATGTACATAAAAAACTGTAAGAATTGTAAAACTGTAAGAACAGTCGGAAATACCAGAAAAGGTAAGCTATGAGGGAGAGAAAAAATATTTAACATGGAAAAAAAATCTCTTAAGTCAAATGAAAGAGAAATGGAGTACACTTTGAATTTTTATGGGACCAGAAAAAGAAAATGGAGGAAATGATCCAAAATATTTAGAACATTTGTCTTGAACTTTCTGACTCACAATGTATGCAACATTTACTTACTATGTATGGCTTTGTTCTGCAAGCAGAATATGAGGAGAGCATACTATTTCCCATGTAGGCCTGAAATCCTCTGCTGCACCAGCCTTTTACGCTGCTGAGAGGTTCCATATCATGCAGGCATGAGCTACCCAAATGTATCGTGTGCAGCTCAAGACTTAATTGCAGGTTAGGTAAAGCAGGCTGTTGAATTTATTCATTTCCCATTCATTCTAATGAGCAAAAAGAAAAGATGGTTTTGAAAATCCTTGTGCTTCCTCTGGGTGTTTTGGAGGAAATGTTAAATCCCCTTTGGTTGCAGTCTTTCTCCCTCACTGTACCTTGAATAGCTATTTTACTTATTTCACTATTGTTGTGCATTTGCCCAATTATGAGGCCAGACTTCTAAGCCACATTTGATATGCATTCAGAGTGGTTCATAAATGGTCCTATTTTTACTACAAGGACAGCACCTGTCTATATTTACTAAATAGGGTCCTTCATCTCTTTTTCAGGTATCAATTATAATAAGTGGTTAATAAAATTTCAAATCCTCACTTTTATGTTAATACCTGTAATTTCTCTTGAGTGTGTTTTATATACATATAAATATTTCTGAATGCCTTTTTAGATTTGTAGCTTTTTATAAGACCAATTAAAAATCTGATTTTTTTTTACTGTTTAAAACCTTATCCATATTCAAGTCTCATTCTCCTTTTGGTTCCTAAAGGTGCAGTGCCAGGAAACAGAAACAAGCTGCACTCCTCTCCTCACATCTTTTTGTCAAATGCTTGTCACTGCAGAGTAAGATGGAGGAGCTCCAGCTGTTCCGTGGTGACACAGTCCTTCTGAAGGGAAAGAAACGCAGACATACAGTGTGTATCGTTCTGACAGATGACACCTGTGCTGAGGAAAGGGTGCGCATGAACCGCGTCACCAGGAACAATCTGCGGGTGCGGCTAGGTGACATAATCAGGTAAGCAGTATCAGCGAATGCCACATGACCACTTGGTATTGTAAAGTGATCAGTATCAGTGAATGTCATTGGTCCCACTACGATCACCTTCAGGTAAGCAGTATCAATGAGTGCCCCATGGTCACACTTCATTCATCATCTAGTGAGCAGTATCAGTGAGTGTCATGTGGTCACACTTCTTTTAGCTTCAGAGTTCCTTTTCCGAAATGGATTTCAGGCACAGACCTTATGTCATCTTATTTCAAGCACTGGAACTTCATGTTTAATTATACAGTTAGAACATTGGTTGCTCATACTACAAATCTATTCATGTAAATACTGTAGAAAAGCATGCAAATAATAACTGTGTCCATGCTATATTAAACCTTGTATATTTTAAATATATATAGTATACATTTATAGAAATATTTTTTAAATATTTTTTAAAGATGCCCCATTCAATTTTTAGTATACTTCGTCCTTCATAAAACAGGTTAGCAAGTAAGCAAAAAAACAATTTGTTATACTAGTTTTGAAGAGCTGGGGTAAATGGTACCTCATCTCTAACCAATGACTGATTCTTTGTCATACTGTAAATACCTTTCTTTAAGTTAAATCAGCTAAAGATTTTGTTTTAGGTTCTTATTGTTGCCTTAGAAATACCCATTTCAAATTCTAGTAACAAATGTGATTATAAATGCCATTGAAAATTTTCCATGTAGAAAAATTTTGCCAAGAAAAAACCTTTTATCTCCTTCATTAAGTACTTTTTGTGCTCAGAGAATTTTATTCCGACCTTTGGTTTTATTTTTGTTTTCGGCTTGTGAGCAAGCCAATTACTGTATAAAATTGAATTTCTTGCAAAAAATGTTTGTCTTGGCTGCCACCAGTGAGGAGCCTCAATTATATTGCCTTCAGGATCAAAACTGTTAAAATTCATGATTGGCCATAATATAATATATGATCTCTAATTGCATTTTGATATAACTGTCATATACATCACATTATTTAATATATTGTGTCATTCCAGCTTTTATTATAAATAAGTATTTTTATGGTACCTTCTATTGGTTTCATTCTGATTAGTGCCGTAAACCTGGAGTATCTGTCATTTTAAATAATATATTTTTTGTGTGATATTGGTATTGTTGTGGACACTAAATTGTCTTTATCTATGTGGTAATACATTAATGTTAGTGAACATGACTTAAAAAAAAAACTTGAATTATGTTCAGAATTTGTCCAGGGCTAAAGAAATTAGAGATCTTACGTTTTGTTAAGATGGCCAGGAAACTTGATGGAAAGCAAACAGAGTTACAAAAAAGAGAATAAAGATAAAAACATGCCTTTCTGTGCCTGTTTTTTGAAGCAATATATTTTGTTTTTTCTGTCTTTCTGCAGTATACAGGCCTGTCCTGATGTAAAATATGGAAAAAGGATTCATGTGTTGCCCATTGATGAGACCATAGAGGGACTTTCAGGGAATCTTTTTGAGGTGTTCCTGAAGCCTTATTTTCTAGAGGCATACCGGCCCGTTCACAAAGGTAGATTGTGAGTTCTGTATTTAATTTTGATCATAAATGCTCTGGTGCATCACTGCTGGTATTATTAAGTGAATTTATTTCTGCATCCTACCATGTTGCTCACAACAATGACTCCTTTGTTTGCTAGTGAGAATGAGGTAGGGCAGGCAAGCTCCTCCAGCCTGCACAATGACAAAACCCTTCAACACGATGAGAACATAGCAGTGCCTAAAAAGGACAGTTAGTGCCAACTGGAGAAGCCGCACATCTCTTGCTGATTTCATGGCAACCAGGAAGACCCTGGAGATGCCGTTCCAAGGAGAGTCCCCATTGTGCACCCCTTCTTGAACATGGTTTAAACTTGTGACTTCTATTAAATAGAACTTAACCTGCGTTTACGGCAACTGCCTTTCTTCTGAGTGGCCAGTAAAAAAGCCTGTTGGCCAGTTTTTAATACTTAGAATTACAAATTGCAAACATATGTATTCATTTCTGTGCGCTATGATGTCATTGATGGACCTACTCTGAGCATTTACATTGATTATATGCCAAACACACAGCACTATTTAATGACATTTTGGGATGTAGGACAGTAAACCAAAACTGCAGATTAGCGACACACCATTTTAACTTCTGACAAACTGTACTCAATTATACAATTTTATAATGTAACTCTACACTACCTTTCTGATGGTCTCAGGAACAATGTTAAATGCTGTTCCAAGTACATTTAGGACTTCATAATTTCATTTTCAAGGCAGGCATTGAATTCGTATATTTTATGTGGACATGGCATAATTTAAATCCTTTTGCTGCCTCTGTTATGCTTTGATTGATCCTGTTGTTCTAGGAGACATTTTTCTGGTCCGAGGGGGAATGCGTGCAGTGGAGTTCAAAGTTGTGGAGACTGATCCTACCCCTCACTGCATTGTGGCCCCAGACACCATCATTCACTGTGAGGGAGAGCCCATCAAGCGAGAGGTAAGGAAGGTATTGAAAACAATTACTGCAACAAAAGCCAGGAAGCTGCAATAACAGAAATAATAACTAGAAATAACATTTGCAAATTATTACAACAGTTAGACACCTGAAAATATGATTAAATTCAAGTGTATTCATGGCACTGGATTAGTGTGAAAGCTGTCTGCCACATGTTAGCAAAACTAAGTAGCCTCTCACAATTGTGTGAGTGACACACTCTGCTTTTTAATCTGTGGGTAAGTTGCTATAAAAGCCTGCCTCTTTTAGGAATACTAAACATAACACTAATAGTAGTATTTCAGGGTATGGGTCTAAAATGGTTATCCAAGAGGTCTAAACACATTTAAAGAACACAAGGACTATAAAAGTACAGACATTAATATTGTAGACCATCTCAACAAAAATACATTCAGACAGTAAAATCCAGTCACCAACTTACACTTTTCGGGCCTGTCCAGACATACCATTCATCATACCCATCTGACAATGTGAAATTATAATCCCTTCACTAATTATCTAGTTGATTAACTAAACATTACCCAGTGTGATTTTATTATCTGATAATAGGAAATACAAGCTATTAATAGCCTCTAGACTCAAGTCAGTAGTCAAGTCAATCCAAATAGATTTTGATTTTGAATTATAGAGTGAAACATACAAGTCTGTGATTGGGTTTCTTAACCTGACAGGACCTATGAAAAAGGGTAGGGTTTGAAACATTAGAATTGTTTATTGATGCAAGCTGATATCCAGCCTGTAAAATGAAATACTCCACATAGTTGTGTTTTGTAAAATGCTGTCTGATGGGGAGTACTTTTAAGTGTGCATTTTAGAAAGAGAAATGCATAAAGTGTAGTATCTGAGAACACTACAATCAATTATGGTAACACTATAGTAGTAGTAACTCTTCAATCAGTTATATATTGATAGTGTCTTTTATTACAGGGCACCTCACAGTGCTTAACAGGAAGAAAGAAGGGACGCTGGCTTAGACACAATGTACCTAAAACAGTGCAATTCAATAAATAGTCTTTCAAACAACTGTGCAAAAGAATGAAATAGAAAGTAATGAGTTAATGAGTGAACTACATGCCTTTTCTGCATGGCCACCAGGATGAGGAGGAGAGCCTGAATGATATTGGCTATGACGATATTGGTGGGTGCAGGAAGCAGCTTGCCCAGATTAAAGAGATGGTGGAGCTGCCTCTGCGACACCCAGCCCTCTTCAAAGCCATTGGTGTGAAGGTGAGTGATGCTTTGTGACTGTTACAAATGAAAGGCTACAAATGAGAGGATTTGCATCATTGGTCCTTGAAGCTTATTGGTTATAACTTCTCAGGCAATAACCAATGAATCAAATCAATTCATATTATGGGTGGAGCTGAATGAAAATCTTGGTGAAATTCTGTTTTGAGTGATACAGTATGTGTAGTGGCCATTTAAAAAACAATCAGGATTACATCTGGAGTTTTAAATGCTCATATTTTGTGGCACTGCCCTTTAAATTATACCTTTTATAGATAGATTGATGTTAGTATTTGGGGGACAGCAGTACAATTCTCCTGTATGAAGGAGTTCTGAGAAAATGAATGATCAAGGAGAGTCTGACAATCTCTGGCTAGATCATAGAAGAGTTGAGATGTGATGATTCTCTTCAGAGAGTGAAGATTCTTTACTCATCAAGATACATCAAGATTCTCCAAGTGATTCGCAATCTGCTTGTGCCAGTGGACATGTTCAAAGAGGGTTTATGGAAGATTATGTTGAAGCTCCAGCCACTCATATAATGCTTAGACAATTAGGACATCACAATTCAGCAGTAGCACTAAATGTGAGTCTCAGATTATGTGTTTTTTTCTGCTCTGTAGCCCCCCCGTGGGATATTGCTCTATGGTCCACCTGGGACAGGTAAAACTCTTGTGGCTCGGGCTGTAGCCAATGAAACAGGAGCATTCTTCTTTCTGATCAATGGTAAGTTTTTGAACGAACAGAACTGCTCATCAGCCTTATTATGAGCATTTATTTATAAGCACATTTTTACATTTAAACTTTCAGTAGTGATTTACATATTTGCAAAATGTGGTCTGTATAAATGCCTTTAAATCACAGCAATGGCTTATTTCAAGCAATTATATACATTACATTGACATATAACTGCATAAGAATAGTTAAAAATGAGAGAAGGCTATTCAACTCATCTAGCTTGTTGTTTGCTCAATAGTTATCTGATCAGGATTCTCAGGCATTTTTTAGTTAAAAAATATGGATGGGCAGCTTGTTTCGGACTCCCACAACGTGTTTTGAACGCACTATTGCATAATTTTCACTTGTGTCCAATATGTTTATTTCACTTTTCCTTCTGAAAAATTCCATTGTTTTTGACAAAGCTCAGTGCGTGTAAGAATTTTAAAGATTCCATTAAATGTCTCTCACAGCCTTCTCTGTTCAAGTTCAGGTGGGTAGCTGCGTCAGCATGCGTAGGCTGCAAAGGAACAAGTAATAGGTTTATTCTATGCTGAAAAAAAGAAGAAAGAGAACACAAGGTTTCGGCCGTGGAGCCTTCTTCAGGTGTGAGAGAGACAGGGCAGTAGGCAAAGGTAAAGTAGCGGGAGAACAAAGGTTGGGAGGGAGGAGGAGTGAGAGGCGGGAGCAGGGGACAGAAAGAGAGGCCAATCA